ACCAAATCTTAGATTGTCTGATTCGGTCTGATATCCTACACTGGTGACTATTTCCGTCCTCATTGTACAACATCACTACCCTTTAAGTTTTGAGCTTCAGAACTTCCTATAAGGGAACATAGTGAGCATCGGATGCTTCCTGGTTTTCACAGCTTTTTTAGGGAGGAAACAAAATTTTGTGATTGAGACAGCCGTTAACCACTGACTACTGAGCAAGGGACCTGAGTGATTCACACCCAGATTTTAGGTCCACACCTGATCACACTCACCTGTTTGTGACTTTATAGTTAGTAAAACTGAAAACCTTGATTAGTTTGTTCAGGTGCACTGCACTAGGTTGGAGCAAAACTCTGCATGTAAGTGAACCTTGAGAGACAATGTTGAGATCTCCTGCAATATGTTCTGAACATGACAATTCAGAGAGGCAGGATGACTGCTAGATTGATGACTTACAACACTGGTGTCCAGTCCTGGGCATGGAGGACCAACGTTCTGCAGAGTTTCTGGTGATCCTTGATCAGCTGCTCAGGTCTGCTTAATTTGGGTTGGAGCTAAACTCTGAAAAGAGATATAAGACAACAAATATTACGATGTTAAAAAGTTAAACAAAGTTAAAGTTAAACATTTTGATTCATAAATATGCACAACATCTGAAAATGCACAGAGATGAGAAGAAAGCAATGTGTTTAAATAGAACTTTCAACCCACTGAAAAATAAGAAGTAATATTGTCACAGATGCATTTATATTTTTTCTTGTTATTCTTCTTATTATTCTTGAAATAAGTTATAATTACCTTGTGGTTTATTGATGATTTTCAGCCTCTGAAATAGAAAAGTTCTATCAATTATTGATGGCATCATAAATACATCATATGTAACGGTATTTAATAAGAGTTCTAACACCATGTCTACACCGAACGGCACAACAAAATACAATAGAACCTATTATAATCAGTGATGCTGTTTACACTGGATGCGGCACAGTGCGACACAACAAATCCCTGACAGTAAACTGATGCCTCGTTCTATTTATGATGTACTGACACAAAGTTCTAATGATTTTTAACAGTCACTTTGTCGCATCCAGTGTAGACACGGTGTGAGAGTGTGTAGCTTGTAGATAGAGAATGGGAATCTACGTCACTGTGCATTGCATTCTGGGTATACAATACAAATCACCAGAGGAAAAAATGACAATTTATGTTAATATTTTTAAGAGCTTCTTGGATTTTATTAGAATAAATGGATTAATATTTGAATCCCTTGTGTTATTTAAGTTTGAAATAAGTCTCTTATGTTCACCAAGAAAACTGCATTTATTTGATCATAAATAAAAACAGTAATGTTGTGAAATATTATTATTTAAAATAACTGTTTTCTATGTGAATATATTGTAAAATGTAATTTATTCTTGTTTTCACAAAGCATGATTTCTGAAGGATCATGTGACACTGACTTACAAGTCATATGGTTCATAATGTCTAGATATTTTCCTCGACAGGAGATACGCTCCAACTCTAGTGCACGGCCATCAGCATGGAAGAATCTAGGAACATAAACAATCTGTCACAGAGTCAACAATATTTATTATACAATGCCAGGTTTATTATAAATAGACCAGTGTTAGGGGATAGAATATACAGGGGGGCGCCAACAGTGATCTTGCATACCCCTCAGCAAATGTGTGGTTGCGCCCCTGTGTGGCAAGGAAAAGTGAATGTCCGGTGAATTATCGAACCTAAAACTAATGGCGATAGAAAAGCGGCGATTATAAAGAAAATGCAGCACATTGCGTTCTTCTCGCCTCATTTGCTTGCCTGTATATAGTTTGCATCATCAGTAAGGTGTAAGTTTGTTCTTCTTAAATCACTGCATTAGTTCACTGATGTGTGCTATGCGTTTTTCACGTTAAGGCCTGGGTATACTTCACTTTCCGCGTTCCGTTCCATCTCTGACTCTTGCACAGCCGCGTCCTCACAGCTTTCAAAGTATTGTAGTGAACAACAGTCAAACTGGCATTCCAAGGACCAGTTTATGGCAGGGCCCCTCTCTAACTGCCGGTGTGGATGGAGATGTGCCCCACTGTGATTGGATCTTGGTGGAGGAACATAAACAAATGTTCAGAACCATCAGATAAGATGCCAAGACAACTGCCAGACACCTCTAGCAGGACAGGAAGGGAGACCTTCTGCACCCACGACCACCTAAGAGAGGACTTCTCATTGGACTACGGATTGACCCTCACCATCACACCCAATCCTAAGGTTTAGGAAATGACTGCCCTAAAAATTCCTCCAGATCTCTGGATGCAACAGCAGTGGCCGAAACAAAGAAAGGCCACAAAGATCTATCCAAATCCATTCATACCACCTTAAATGGACGCAAACTGCAAGGGATTCATCCTCAGATGAAGTACAGTTTATGTTGATGGCCATTGACTGTTAACACAACAGTTCATGGAAGCAGGCCTATTAACATATTATGGTATGAATAAGGGATAGTTCAACAGTTTCCTATCATGTTTGGGCTCTTTTTGCTCCTCACAATGCTGGTAACAAGTTGAAAGAGGTTTGGTAAATAAACATTGCATGGGTGAAATGTTAAAGACACTGTTTAACTTTGTACTCCACTGTAAGCAAATGAGTTCCACACTAGGGCGGGCAACACCATGGCCACTTCGGACAGATGAACACTTGACAATAACTGTGGAACACACACTATTTATTCACTCATACACTTATTTATCTAACACACATACTCAGTCTACATTTCAATTTGCACATGATATACCTGTACATACAACTGTCTATTGTTCTATGTTCTATACCTATACATACAATTGTCGATTTGTATATTTTTTATTTCTTATTTTACTTGTTCTATTTTTAATTTTTAATTTATTTTTAATTTTTTATTATCTGTGTTTTTTTTTTGTTCTGTCACTGTGATTCTGTTACACTGTGGAAGCTTCTGTCACGAAAACAAATTCCTCGTATGTGTAAACATACCTGGCAATAAAGCTCATTCTGATTCTGATTCTAATTCTGATTCTGACACAAGTGGACAATCACATTCCTGGAATGGAGAGGCGCCAGATTCCAATCTCCTCCTCATCAGAAAGAGATAAAGGTACCTTCCCAAAAGACACTCATTGTTTCTGAGTCTGAGTCCTGTTACCGGAAAGACAGCAACAGGAACACTCCCTTGTTCTGAGTCTGCACGATTTATCGTGCAGCCCTAGTATCTTCCTTCTTTTTTTGTTGTCTATTATCTATTAGCAGTGCATATTCATTTATTGGTATCATTACTAGTTGTTGTATTTACTCTTGCATATCTATTGTTAATAAATTTATTTAATCTTATTACAATTGTGTCTTCTTTGTGTTGATGATCCAAGGCTCTACTAGCTAGCTAAACCACCAATTTTTCAGATAAATCAGTTGACCAGCTCCCTCCAGTGTGTGAAATTCAAATTGTTGAGCAGCTTGCGGGAAACATGCCCACATTGCCAAATCAACAGTCTTTGACTGGTGCACTAAACTAAGTGAGGTGGGAATTGGTCATCTGATATACTCATAACCGCACCTTGAGTGATGTGTGATCCAAAAATCACGACGTCCTTGGTGACGTGACTCTCACTTACTACAGTATACTCAACCGCGGATGAGTGTGGACGGACAAGCTCAACACATGCGCAGTACCACCTACTTGACTTGAGCTCTGTCTCAACATTCACCTCACACATGCGCTGTTGTATGCTCACCGTCCGCGCGGTCTCAAAAAGTTGCCTTGGACGGGGTGCGTGGCTGTCCGCGAGCCCTCTTGATGACGAAAATGACATAATGCAGACGGTGCGCGGATTCGGACAGCCGAAGTATACTTTGGCCTTACGCGTCGTTGGGGAATCCTCGAGTGTGACGTATGAGGGGAACCTCAGTATTCCAACTCAGCGTCACACCATTATACAAAGCCATGATACAAAGTTAAGGGAAATAAGCAACCAAAAACAATATATGTCTTCCTCCAATGTAATGTCCCTGCAAACATGTCCTTGCGGAGCCCATGCTGGCTTTTTGCGGGCACAGTGGGCTAGGGCCAGCCCACATCAAACCTAAACAGGCCCGGTGCGGGCTTGCCCAGAGGAGGCCCACAGCTTTGGGCTCACTGCAGGCTCTCTGTGAGCAGCCTACACTATGGGACTGCCCACATTAATCCCATGATGGCCCAGTGTGGGCCAGACATGAGCCTGTTATTAAGAATTTTGTGGGCAGTTTTCTTCCTTACCACTAGGGATGCTAGTGTGTTTTAGATTTCCTTAAGTAAAGCCATGTGGTAGAGATTGCAATAGCAAGCAGCAGTAGCCAGCATGGCTCACCTGCTGAACACATTGTGCTGTATCCTGGTTGGGAAATGTGTCATTTCAAGCCCAGTCTAAAGGAGGTTTTTTTTCTATTTAAAAGTGTACATTGCTTAAGACAGTGTACTTGTATGCATTTTAGAAGGACTCTTTATTGGTGAGGACACCACATCATGGTCCAGTTTGAATATGGATTTAAAGTTATTTTTGACGTGAGACCATAGTCTGGACTATTTTTGATTGTTCCTGGTTAGGAAAAGTCTGGTGTTTGTGAGTTGTAGTGTGTTTTCATTACAAGAGTTTGGATTATTCTTTGCTATCAGCCAACTTCAGCTACGGACAGTGTTTGGAAATTGAAGCACTACAGATAAGACTTTCACACACATCAACTTTCACATAACGAAATCCTACAATCTTACATTGCTTTGTTTTTTGTACTTTTGTGTATTTACATTTTTGGCTATATGTAGCTGTATTAACCTGAATTGAATGTTTTCTATTTTGTATTTAATAAATCCATTGATTTGAAATCCCTTTGACTACTGTACATTTTTGACAATATAAACATTAGTTATGTGGTGACTGCATCCATTTCAGATGTATAATAACTGTTTCTCCCAAAGACTTAAGTTATAGTAGCTGAAAAGTATTTAAAGTGAAACAGATGTATTGTTAAAGATCAGGGGTGGATCCTGTTCCTGGAGATCTACCTTCCTAGATCTAGGAAGGGTCCAACCATGATTAAACAAACCTGTCTGTAATTATCAAGTGCTCCTTCAGATCCTAATTAGTTGGTTCATTTGTGTTTAAACAGGACCAGGTTGGGCACTCCTGTTGTAGATTAATAGTGTGGGCTAAGTGAGGGCTGCCTGTGCAAGGCCAGCACTAAGGGGCCAACGTTTTGCCAGTGAGCAAAATCTCAGAGGCCCTACGTTGGCAGGCTAGCCCTACCCCTCTTTCAGAAGAAAGACATTCCTTTGAGGGGATATGGCCAGGTGTCTAAAACCCAGACCCTGGCCTGTCACCCAGGGTGCTACTGCCGGCTCTGAATGAGCTTGCTCAAAGAACTGACTCGACAGATCTTTGGTAGCAACACCCTGCTCAGAAATGTACCAACAGGGATACATAGGTTGAGTGGAGCCCAAGGTGAAAACCGGGGCCTAACCCACTCAGAGAAAGGAAACGAGGCTGACAGTGCGTAACCCTTACCATACAGGATTTTAGAAAGTCTGCAGAATGCCTAGCGTGCACACTTACCACAATGCGGATTTTAGAAAGTGCACAGAAGCTCAGAGTGTGCACTTACCATAGCATGGATTTAGAAAAACTAAACTAAAAAAAAGTTACTAAAGGGTAACCAAAAACTGTCCCTTAGACAGGCCTAAACCCTACGTGACTGTGGCACACTCAAGGAGTGACAATAATTCAGCGGGAGGCCGAGTGCTCAGAGTGCATGTAGATTGAAAAAAGGCGTATCTCATAGAAAAACCCTCCATGTGAGGGGAGTATCGCCAACTCAACCATTACAGTCACAGGACAGACTCTGGAGCATCTACTCATCCATTACTAGAAGGGGCGTAGCACCCAGCTCTCAGACCGAGAGGGGGACACCAGTGCCCGACTGGGAAGCAGCGTGCTCATAGATAACCCTCCAGGGTGAGAGGAGCACTGCTGAGCTCACCAAGGGAGCAGAAGAGGAAGGCAGAGTCCTGATGTGCTACCCAGCGAAGCCCACAGAGTGAAAGATTCAACTCTCAAATGAGAGGGAATCAGATGCTCAGAAGTGAGTGGTGTGCTTGCAAGAGACCCCTTCCATGGTGAGGGGAGCACAGCTAGCTCACTCAACAAGCAACCAGCCTGGGATGCAGAAGATGGCCCAGCACCCTGGCATGACTGCTAATCGGAGCTCAAAGGAGCGGAGGCCCAACTCCAAACATAGGAGGGGACTCAGATTCTCAAACTGGGAGCAGCGTGCTCATGGGTGACCCTCTAGGGGAGGGGAGCACTGCTAAGCTCGACCAACAAAGAGAGCAGCCTAACAGGGAGGCAGGGAGAGGCCTAACAACCTGAGGGTGCTGCTCAATGGAGCTCTAAGTAGCAGAGGACCTAATGAGAGGAGACCTCAGACGCTCAATT